AAGTGAACTTACAGGTGCGGATACTTCTGCACCAGCTTTGCTACTCAACCCTTCAGTGTATTTATGTGGCTAGTACTGTTATTTTGGATGCTGTTTTCCTGTCTGACCCCCTTGAATAAGAAATGAATCAGGCAAAGGTGGCGGAGTTCCATATCACGTCCACTGATTGTCTAATGTTCACAGACCAATGGTAGCTCAAAGGTTTTTAGGAGCTGTTTTGAACTGCGAAATTTACCTCAAAAAGGGCTTAGTTTTGGTTGGAGCTTGTCTGATTTTGTTGGAAGTATACCGTGGCCTTGAAGGGCATAGTTGAACCAAAGAAGAAAAGTATCTCATTTACTCTTGCTCATGTTGTTTTGAACCTTTATGAGTTTCTTCCACAAAAGATATTTAGAAAAATGCTGATTACTGGCAACCATGAACTTCCTTAACAGGAAAAAAACATACTATGGACAAAGAGCATAGAATTACCATCAGGCGAAAGTCTACTGCGATTTAGGAAACAGCCACTAGATGCCGCTAGTGTCACAGAGTGGCCATTTTGGAGTGAAAATTTCAATAGAACAACAGCATATTATAAGTCTGTAAAATAAACTATTGAAAGTGCTGATGATTGTGATAGTAAGTAATGTTTTGTCATCTTACAGGTTGTATCTCAGCTTTAATGCGCTTTTTAAACAAATAAATAAAAAACAAAACAATAAGATCCAAATGACGGCCGATCGCTTTCACACCAAAATGGCGGCATAGTTGGACTTTTGCAATGGAACGTTCTATTGAGTGTCGCCTCTTGGTCATTCATAGTTCTTTGCTATGGATGTTAGTGGGTGCCTGCTAATAGCATTTTTCAAAAGATCCTGTTTAGTGTTCAACAGAAGAAAGAAACTCAAAAAGGTTTTGAATAAGTAAAGGATTTGTAAATAATGTCAGAATTTTAATTTTGGGTGAACTATATTTTTTAAATATCTTAGTGTGAGAACAATTTACTGATTTCATCACTCTTAATCAATATAAATGACTATGATAATTAAAGATAATATAATCAAACAGAGTTTTTATTGTTTTTATGTGCTGTGATATGTGAGTGTTTCCCCTACACACCGCATTGGTCTTTGCGTCTCCATTCTCGGAATGGTTTTCCTCATTGGCTGCAGACTCTGAGGTCTCCTTGGCCTTCACCTTGGTCTTTTTATCCTCCTTTTTAACAGCTTTGTCTTTCTACAGAAGAAGTGATTGATTAGCAGCACATTTTGCAAATTCATGATAGTATTATGATGTTACAGTTTTATTGTTCGCTCTTTAGTTGTGTGATATTATTTACCTTAGCCGTCTTTTTTGATTTGGGTTCAGCCTTCGCAGGAGCTGGTCTCTATAAACAAATAGGTTAAAAAATCATGTATGAGTGTAACCAGATATTGTTCACATGAAAATATAAATGTAAACAAAAAGGGAATAATAAAACTTTTCATTACGTTCCATTACTATTATTTTTATTTTCTTAATAGTAATAAAATAATAATAATTAAATAAAAATCCTATTACAATATTATATATATATATATATATATATATATATATATATATATATATATATATATATATATATATATTTATTTATTTTGTATAAATTTTATAATTTTATATATTCAGCACTTGGCATAATTGAGTACACCCCATTTTGAAAGTGAATATTTTTACCCAGTGAAAATTTTATCTTTTTTTTACTCTTGATTTTTGCTATTTTTGAAAATTTTATTTAATATTTTTCTAAAACACAAATTTGGGCTACAAATTTTTAAACCATTATTGTAAGTTATGTTTTGTTAGATAAGTTCCAGGTTTGTTTTCAGTACTGACTAATCTAATGCATATGCAAATATAATATTGTAAAGCTTCCTAAAGACAATATTAATTTAGCACTGTGTGTGTATATATTTATATATATATATATATATATATATATATATATATATATATATATATATATATATATATATATATTAGAGTGTGTGCGTGATTACGGTGTAATACCCTTTGGTAAAATTAATTTTAGTAAGATATTTGATGCCGCTTTGTATAAAGATTACATAAGGTCCAACTACTATGTGCTTCTGTTAAAAGAAAGTAATTGTAAAAAAAAACAAAATATTATGCACACACTTTGCTCATGTTGTGGTATTGCAAAACTTTTTTGGAATATGATTAAATTTACAGTAGGCAAACTATGGTGGTATTGGTAGGTTTAATAATTGGTTAATGGGTAGGGTCGGGATATTATTATTGTATTATTGTTTGACTACATTCAAATAGTGATAGATTCTATAAGCACAAATCCCAGTAAGATACTGTAAACACAAAAGGAATGCAGCATTATTTGTTTAGCATACACATACTTTTACACTGTGTAAAAGCAATGCAAAAAGCAACAGATTGTATTTACACTATGTAAGGCATAGGCCTTAAACTCAATTCCTGGAGGGCCGCAGCTCTGCACAGTTTGCTCCAACCCTGAACAAACACAGCTGATCCAACTAATGAAGGTGTTCATGACTCTTCTGAACACCTCGATTAGTTGGATCAGCTGTGTATGATTAGGATTGGAACAAAACTGTGCAGGAATTGAGTTTGAGGCCTATGATGTAAAGTATTTTCTTCTTTATACCCATTAAGCATTTTATTTACACTTTTAAAGTGTTGAATTCATTTTAATTGAGAATAAACTTCTTTCCAATCTGTCATGTGATGGAAAAAAGAAACACTTTTCAGCATAGGTTGGATCTATCAAAACCTTCACTTCTAATACACATATGTACACTGTAATACTGTGCATCAAGTTGTTAATTTTAAATGTTTGTACGTTAAACACACTTAACATAAAGTGAATATAAATATTTATTTTGGGTTTAGCAGAAAATTACAGCTTTTCTATTGGATCTACATAAATAAGTAGACCTGTCAGCTTATTGGCTTTGTGTAGAATGTCAAATCTTCTCTAATACGGTGATCACTGACAGTAAATCTGACCAACAGACAGGCCTAAAGCTCTGTAGTAATGCATTTTTAAACACACACACACACACACACAGAGATCCTAGAGAATAACTGGGAAATATACGTACTGCTGATAACCGTGCAGATCTCCTCTGAGGCTGAAAAGAGTACAGATATGAGTGAAATATGCACACGCCACTATAAATAACAATTAAATAACAGAATTATCATGCAGTGTATTAAGTGTAAGCATGAACATATTCACCTCATCCTTTGCTTCTCCATCGGCTCTCTGTGAATGAAAAAACGAAACAAAACAAAAGTTAAAATCAAATCATTTAAACATTTTATTCAAAACACGTGCATTAATTCACTTTTCAAATGTAAAACCTAAAACAAATCGTGTGACGTGTGTGATTACAATCAACTGAGATCAGTTCAGCTCAACCATCCCTTATTAATAGCACAACCAACCCCTAGATGTGACCTGAGGAGGAGCTGACGGCAGCGCCATCTTTCGGTACTCAAGCGCCATTACTGCCATCTGCTCACAAGAACAAAGACTATAAAATAATTATTACATTGTTATTATCGATATCGACGTGTTCGCGGTTAGCGAACTCGTGAGCATTGAACAAGTCACATTTAACCATATGTGGATATTTCGTGAATTAATTTCTAAGAGTTTCTTCTTGCACAGCATGGTTGACTCGAGGAGCAAGAAAGGCAGCAAAACAAACTTCATCCCGCCATTGTTCATACTGCGCAAAAATAAACCGTGTGAGGCTCGGATTTCAGAGATAATCATGTTTAAGCTGTGCATACATATATTTCGCAATGCAACGGATAAATAAACCACGAAAATGGCTATCAATACCGAACAACGCCTCCCTGGTGTAGGAGTGTGTGCGCGCGAGCAAAAGGATACGTACCTTTCTTTTAGGCATGTTGGGTCCTGAACAGATTTTTTTTCTTAAAACACTAGGAAAGCAGCAGCTTTGGAAGAGATCTCTGCATATACGTGCGCAGTTCGATTCACTAAATACAGTAGTAAACACAGAGGAACATTACAGCAAAGGGACTGAATGGGATGAGGGGAGTGGCTACGCGTGATAGACGTCTGTTTGGACCAATCAGCGTTGAGAACTGAGAGCAAAGCATGAAGAAGATCTAAGCCGGTATCGCTGATAAATGTCGACAGTACAACAAGGTCGACTGAAAATATGAATCTTTAATCCTAAAATATGAAGGCTTAAGCCTTACAATTCAGTAGCTAACGTAGACGAGGGAAAATATTAGGCGAGGCCAATTTCGTAACAGTTTTGTCGTTTGTGTACAGGGTGAATCATTGTTCGAGTTCTGTGTTCAAAATGGCGCCTTCGACTTGAATCGGGTTAGGGTTTGTTTCCAGCCTGCAGATGACAGGGGACAAAAGAGGGGGAACCACACTTCTGTCTGTCTTGAGCATAGCAGACTGCTGCACAGTTGTCCCTTGTAACAATAGCATTGTTCCACACAAAAGCACTGGAGCAACAGATAACTTTATTTTCAAGCAAACTCACTGCCGCGCAGTTCATACACAAGTACATGCGCGTTCACAGTTCATGATTTCACAGGACCTACATTAAACAAAAAGTGCTAAACGTGCTTTTTCCCTTAAAACAACATTCTACGGGTGTCTAAAACAATACGGGCATAATAATATCAGAACATTATAACCTAAAATGGAGAAAAAGATACATGTAGCTTAACCATATCTGCAAATTTATCGTTTTTTAACGCTCTTTGTTTAAATAATATATCCTAATACAGGTATTCAGTTTTCATTGTCCTTTGAAAACACGCCATTTAACTGTGAGATCAAATGTTTCAGATAAAGCAGAAGCATTTTTGCGAGGCATGTTTGCCGAAGAGGCGGAGAACTAGGAGGGGTAAAAGAAAGAGAACTGGGGGCGATACAGACTGTTGACTGGAATGTTCAGATTCTCACCGAGACAAGCAGAGTAAATGGGATTTTAACAACGGTGTTGAACAGTAACGCCTATTTTCTCGCTCATACTATTTTTGTTTGCATTCCCGCGAAGCTCTGGAATTTGTGAATATGGTGATTAAAGTTTACATCGCATCCTCCTCTGGATCAACATCGGTAAGAACTTCAGATGAGCACCGTGATGGTAACACGCGACTGCAAACAGTTACAAAGTAGCAACAGCCATCATAATGTCACAGCAATGGCAACATTTATCAATGTGACTAGTCCATAATCCTGTATTTTGTGTAGTGATTGGTCATTGGTGATTTATGTCAGATTAAAAAACAATGCTGAAGTAAATACAAATATGATAGGATAATTTGGCGACAGTTAATTGTGCATGTTTTAAAACGAAAACCTCATGCAAATGTTGGACAATTATTATTAGACAAACCATTTCATATTGTGTTGTTATTATTATTGTTACAATCTAATTAAACCAACAGGAAATATTACCACTGTAGAGACTACATAACTTATTTCTTTCTCCAGCAAATTTAACAAAGAAACACATTCAGTACAAAGTCTAAATATGGTGATGAAGTTGACAGTTAATGTAACCACTTCCTCATTGGTGTACTGGAACTAGCTATCATACATCCCTTTTGTTCAACTCCACCAGAAATGAGATGCAAAATAATGCATAATTGCACACTGCAAGGTAGTTCATAAAAACGGACATGAACATGACAGGTTTTAGTGGGTTTGTTTTAACTGCATCCTGACTGTTGGAAAGTTAACAGTTTTTGGCTGTGTGTAAAATGGCCGCGCTAGAGGGAGCTGTTCCTCTTGCAGGTGATTTGGCTGTAGCTCTTCCTAATTTGGTGAGTTGCAGAAAACTCTTGTGCTCCAGATACTTTAAGTTATGTAACATCAGAATGACACACAGTCCTGACTAGTTTATGCTCCTGCCACCAGTTGCATTTGTTTTTGTTTGTGTGTGTGTGTGTTTTCTTAAATGAGGAGGGGGAAACAGCTAAATTTGACTTTGTTTGACTTTTATTACTTCATAGATTAATAGGTAATTTTTTTCTAAGGTGGATTTGTATTACATTTTAAACAAAACAAACATTATCATTTATTACAAATGTATTTAAATATAAGGACCAATACTGTAACGTTTAATTTTGATTCTGTTTTTGAGCTGGTGTTTTAGTAGTTTTGGATAGGAATGTGCCGGTATAAGATTTTGACAGTATGATAACCTTGGAGAAAAATGTCACGGTTTCATGGTATCATGGTAGTGTGCTCATTGCTCTAAAATATATTCTTATTAAATGTCTGGGTAAAAACGTTTTCCCCTTTGAACACAATAGATTTTATTTTTTTAAAAGATTTATAGTATTTTGGAGCTGTAAACATGTCTGGCTACACAATTCAAATGAATCACTGACTTCTGCTGTCTTCATTTGTTTCTAAAATAAAGATTTCTTTTTTAAATGGCATCTTTGGATATATTTTCTGCTGGAGATACTTACACATATCTTAGGAACGGTATTACAGAAAATATTGGCGGTTTTAGAACCTTGGGCCTATCATACACCCGGCACAATGTGGTGCAAGGCGCGACACAATAGTTGTTTGCTAGTTTCAGCAGGGCAGTTATGCGCCTCGCTTACACACTGCTTAATACACACAAGATGTAGAGCAATACGCAAATATCTTTACATATGAAAAAGAATTAAATATTAAGGATTTATTTAGGATATAATATGGATATATATAGGATATAAATATAAAGTAATAAAATATAAAAAAAGCATAATTTTCTAGCCTACATAAATTCAAAAACCACTGACTTCATGCCTTCTTCATCTCAGGAGGCTTTTTCAGTTTATTTGTGACAATTCGTGACTTTTTTATAATGTTATTATTATTAGCAGTATTATTTATTATATCCATATTTATATTTGTTTTATTAAAAACAAGCTTAGATTTGCCCACCTGTCAGGTTTCAGACCATATGGGGCACAGCATGTGTTTTAGTATATAACTCAGGTTTTTGAACACACATCGTTATTATTGTTCATTTATTCGTTTGCTGGAAATTAGAACTAAATTTAGAAATAGTTTTGAAACAAATCGTTGCGCTTAACAAACAAAATTAATTATTTATAGGCTAATTGATGTCTGTGTGTACAAGGTTTCCCTATCCACGAGAGCGAAAGTAAAAGTAGATTATGAAATGCCTTATCTCTTATTCTCGCGCTGTAGATGCTCTGATAAACTGTTTTCTTGCTAGTGAAATGCTCAGTTTTTTCACTTACAAAGTCGCCGTGTAAATAGCAAATGCGCTTATAGCACGACACAACTGGCTTTTAAAGGGAATGGGAAATGAGACTCTGATTGGTTTATTCTCAAAACACACCTATAACTCATTAAGAAAATAAGATCAACCCTTTTAGACCATGCGCCACAGTGCAAAGCGGATTTTTCAACCCTTATGTTAGCAAAAGTGGATTCTGACACACCCTGAAACCGTTTGCACATGGACCATCAAAATAGAGCCCCTTGACTTTTCCAAACCGTGGTACACTTTGAAAATGGTTATCGTCCCATGCCTAGATTTGGATTACAAATGCAGTTACCACAAAAGATGTCAAGTCATCTGTACAGGATTTAAACCATCACAGAAACCCTGGAAAAGTCATGGAAATTAGTTGAACAAATATCTATACTTGAAATAGGACTGTGCGATATTGGAAAAATTTGACATTACAATACTTTGTATTTCTGTGATATATATTGCGATGTGAATACAGTTTCACCAGATGATTTAACAGGTTTATTTAGATTGATTGGGGGAATTTTGTAGAGCGAGTAAATCCCGAAAAATATATAGCAAATAAAATAGAAGCATAGATAAAATATAGTAAAGATAAAAGTGAATTATATTTTTCAGCTATTCCCTATTCAGGTACAGATATTGAAGAATCAACACTGCATAGTCTTCACTGTAAATCATTTAATCTTTTGTTTTAAACTTGAAATATTGAAATGTTCACAGTCACATGCCTTAAAGGGAGAGTTTACTCAAAGATTAAAATTTACTCACTATTTACTCACACTTCCCTTGTTTCAAAACTATAGGAGTTATTAAATTATATTCTTTTTGTGTTCATTTAAAAAAAAGAAAACTCATAAATGTTTGAAACAAGTGAAGGGTGTAATGAAAATAGTAATGAAAATGTAATGAAAAAAGTAATTTTTGGGTTAAATCTCTTTAAAAAGGTATGCAGATGATAAACTTTTACTCCATTATGACTAAACTCTATATTAAACTATAATCCCAACATTGCATTTCCTGCGTTGTGATTATTGCGGATGCACACATTGCGATATTGATGCAGAAACGAAATATTGTGCAGCCCTAACTTGAATATAGGTTACTTTTCTTCACTTATTATTTTCTGTCCTTGGCCACAAACGTGCTCTCACATTGTTACTGTGCAAGCATTATCAAAATCAATTTTACATAGATAAATAAACAAATTTAAACAAAATAGATTGTTGTGTTCTATGATATGCTGTAATTAATTTTAACGTCATTGTTTTTCCTATTATTTACTATGTATATAGACATTACATGAAACATTACGTCATGAAAATGTACTTGAAAATTCTGCAAAAGTCTTGGAAAAGTCATGGAATTTTAGTAGTAGTAATGTGTCTTTAAAAAATATTCTGACAGGCTTAAAGGGGTTATAAAATACAGTTTTAGTTTTTCTATTATGCTTATCAACGTTAGATTATAAGGTTTTCGTCTACGTTCATTCTTACACTCTAATTTTCATACTGTCATAAAAAAAATTAAAAAAAACCTTAACTTAAAGTAGCCTAAATGTCTGTGATAGGCTCAAATCATCACACTGTAATCATTCCCTCTTTTAAAGCATCATGTTTTGATACTCGAGATGACAAGAGCTGTGGTATACCCATTTAGATTGACTGAATTTCTTTTGCAGAAGAAAACACAATGAAGCAATTATCACAACTTTATCCACATTTACAGGGTTGTTGCAGCTAGAAGTTAATGAAAATGATTTGTATTATTTATTAAATTTCCCATTAATTGTATTTTATAAATGTCTACCCCCATTCCAACCCTAAAACCAACCATCACAGTAATGTAAAAACAGTTAGACTGTGTAATATTTATGTTATCAATTAAATTACTCAATAATTTTTTATAATAACGACTACCCTAACCCTAAACTAAACTGTCACAGTAACGTAAAATTATGAATTTTTTTTATACAGTGTGTTAAAAAATGCTGCTATATTGATGTGCATGTTGCACTTTTGGCCGGCTGTGTATCCTGTCTAGACTTTACCTCTTAACAGTGATGATTGCTTTTGTTTGTCATTGCAGTCTGTAAGAAGCGACAACTCAATCAAGTATTATCTTTTGTGATTATTTAATGATTTAATTGGCAACACTCAAACAATTTCTCTTGTTATCTTAATGGTTTGACCTTCATCACGAACTTGCTAAACAATCCACATCCAGATGCACAAGTACTTCGGATAAAGCAAACATTTTCGAATAACATAAATGTAACTTTTTTAAGTAGCCACTAGTTTCAAATTACATGTGCCATAACATATTATTTATCATAGATAAAGGTGCTCTATGTAAGCTTTTGACTCTTCTAAACATAAAAATACCATAAAATGTTTGCAGATATTTAATAAACTTGCTAAGTGAACATAGTTGTTTACCTAAAAAACAATGCTAATGTGCGTTATGTGCCTAAACGTCTGTTTTTGTTTTGGTCATTTAACTTGCTCACTGCCAGTTTAGGCAATTATATTTCAGCTGCTTGCCTTGGTAGAAAACCGCATATTTCATTCAATCAGTCATTCAGAAAGGCTCTCAAAGCATGCGTAAATGACGGAAATGCAACCAAAATGGACAGTAGCAGACGCCAAAATGAGAATCAGATTCAGAGTTCCACATGAGGTGGTTTTGAATTAGCAAATAATATAAGTATTACGAACATAAATATTAGGTGTGCAGGTTACATTGTAACCCCATGTCCTAACAACACTTTAGCCTTTTGGCTATTTGCACTAGACAAAACACGACAGAAATTGAAATACAGCCATTCTGAAGCACAGAATAGTGCACTTACTGCACTCCAATGAAATGGTAGGGATTGTAATCTAAGTATTACATATTAAACCTCTTTAACATTATTAAATGTACATGCTGAGTCACTGATATGTGTCACACATTTCAAATGGTTTATTTTATTTTCAAGATCTGAGTTAAACTATCTTCTGCTGCTTTCAGCAGTATGGGAATAAATGTCATGTAAAATGGCATTTAAACTTTCATTATTAGCATTTAACACTGAACAAAGCGCATGAGGTTTACGTGAAGTGATCATTGTCAGTTTATCATGCTGTTCAGCTGCAGGAAATAGAAGTTTTTTCTAAAATATAAATTTCAGGTGTTGAATAGGACAAAACCTCCTTTTAATATGGAAAATATTGTCTTCATTGCATGACATTGCTTTTATACAGAACACTTTAAATACTGCTGTTGCTGTCGTCAATCTGGCAACCTGCAGGTGTGCAATACCTAGTTCAACCACTGGGTGTCAAACTTACAGAAATTTGTATGCATCCTTTAGTTTAATAAAGCAAATGGTGAGGCTTCTCAACAAGAGTAAATACTCCAATCTCACTCACTCCAGACTCATATGAACACAAATATTTGTATTTAAATGTGGTAACATAAAAATGGAACACTGAAAATGCTTTCATGTATAAGATACAGCACATTTAGTAAATAAATAAGAAGTATGCATTTCAACAGATATTTTGTGTACAGTAGATAAGTAAGGTCTAAGTCTAAGTACATATCATTTTGACAGGGTTTGTCCGTAACAAACACAAACATATATTGATTATATGTGACTTTTGATCTTGGATTGTTTTATCTTACTTGCCAGTTGGATCTAAGGAGCCCATAGGTCAATAATTAAAATGGGTAAACTTTTAATTGAGCATGGATTCCCGTTTGAAAAGATTGGCTAAAAAAACAAGTAGTCTTTTGTGTCTCTTTTTTGTAGACTGTATTAAAATTATATCTACATGTTATAAAACATAAAAAGTATTGATGAAAAATAAATTTAATTAAATAATAACTTTTTCTTGCATACCTCCTCAATTTGAGGGCACCAGATTCGGTTTCCATCCATTTTGACGTGATTTGATTTTCTTTTTCTCTCAGATCAAGAAACAGCAACAGGATGTCATGGGCTTCTTGACAGTCAATAAAATAGATTTTGAGGAGTGTGACATTGCAGCTGATGAAGAAAACAGAAAGTGGATGAGAGAGAACGTTCCAGATGATTTCCGACCAGCCACAGGGAACCCCTTACCACCTCAGATCTTCAATGAAGAGAAATATTGTGGGGTTTGTACATGTTAGGAATATTATGTGTTGGTGTAGTGGCTCACAGAGTAAAATTCAGAAATATAACACACTGCAAAAAATATATATTCTTAGTTTTTGTACTGTTTCTCGCCGAAATATCTAAATACTCCTAGCCAAGAGGCATTTTTTAGACAAGCAAGAAATATTGTCTTGTTTTCAGAAATAATATGTGAAAATAAAGTGAATTAAAATTGATCTTGTTTTCATTTTGAAATAATATTTTTTAGTTTACCCCATTTTTAGATAAACTTTTGCTTATAATGTAAAGTAACAAGTTTGACCTAAAATATTCCTTCAAAGGCATTATTCACCCAAAAATTAAAATTACCCCATAATTTACTCACGCTCAAGCCATGCTTGGTGTAGATCAGGGTTTTTCAACCATGTTGCTGGAAGACCACCAGCACTGCATGTTTCCTTTTGTAACACCCAGTACACAGGGTATCCGCGGGGTCTCAAAAAGTATTAAAAGTTGATAAACCAATTATGAGAAAATGAAGGCCCTTAATAGTTATTAAAAAGTCTTAATCACATTTTTAGGAGGTCTTAAATTTTGTTTAAGCATTGTCTAAAGTGTTTGACTCCAAAAAAGCATAAATATATATAATTTCCTTCTAATATTGTCTACGGCGTGCTCAATCCATGCGATTGGTTAAGGCCAGGGCGTGTCCGGCCAAGCTCCTCCATCCAGCTGATGTCACGTAATTTGCGACAAATGTGGGAAGGTGATGTGACGCTTTCCACATGTAGTGAAACTATAGAGTGAAACAGACAGCAAATGACAAAATGTAAGTTCGCTTACTCCTATTTGGAGAAAGACGAGCTTAAACAGTGGCTGAAGCCTGTCGCTGAAAAAAAACATGTAATTTATTCTTTCAAGCTTTGTTTCTTCCTTCTTCCAAGATCACGTGCTTATGATTGCTTGCAGCCGGTCCCGCATTATTTAATTTATGATTCACCAATCAGACGATTCTTAAGCCACTATAAATACCCTTAATTCGATATAACAGCCATCTTTGTTTTGAAGAATACCCCGCTTCTACCCCTACTCCTCTTCCTTTCCTAGATGGGTGGCACGGTGGCCCATTGGTTAGCATTGTTGCCTCACAGCAAGAACGTCACTGGTTCTAGTCCTTACTAAGCCAACTGACATTTCTGTGCAGAGTTTACACCTTCTCCCTGTGGTCAAGCGTGTTACCCCCAGGTTCCCTGGTTTACTCCCACCGTCCAAAAAGTTGTTTGTTAATTGACTAATATAGCTTAAATTCAACAAATGGACCCTCAAAATGAAGTTTGACCGATAGTCATATATACTGGTTTAACTATTTTTTAAAAAAGCATGACATCTTCAAGTTTAAAAATTGAAAACATTAATAATACTCATAGTAGACTGCAGACTTAATCTATGTGACATTGTTAACAGTCTTACATTGTGTTAGATTGTTTAACAGCACTCAAAGAGAGACTCTAAGGCCCCGTTTACACTAGTGCGTTTTAGTTTTAAAACGGCGTTTTAGAATGAAAACGATCCGCGTCCACACTCGCGTTTTACCCAGCGTTTCTGAACTGCTCTCCGTCCACACCAAAACGCTGAAAACGCACATCACGTGACCACACTCACACTCTCGGGCAAGCGCTGCAGCCCATATACCCAGATGAGAGCTCTGCTAGTCGGACTTCTCATCAAGCATCTCCCGCTGGATCTAATCTCACTATATTTATTAAACGGGATATTTCATTTATCTTGTTGTCTTTATCTAACGACATATTCCCTGACTTTGGGCATTGGAATCTATTACTTGTTCTCAGGTAACGTGTTTTGGCTGAGCGCAAAGATAAGTTAATGATTAATGTAACCACGTACATTCTGTATATTGACTGATCGCTTGCCTTTATTTCCTATAATGTATAAACTTATTGTATGTTATACTTTTAAAATGGCCATTATCGATTATTAAAACTGATACTCAGCAAAAGAGAGGGTGTGTTTCGTATTTTCACTGAAATTGAAAGGAGGCAGTTGTTATCGGCTCCGTTTTGTTATAAAGATCCACACAGTGAAGATGACGCTCATCTTATGCAGCACGACGCCTCAACATGTCTGCTGTCTAAGTTGCTAATATTAAAATGAAAATAGGCAGTTCCTTAAATCATGTTTACATTTTATTGTTGAGAAAGTGAAACAACGGAGCCAGGGTGATGTGAATGAAGTTATAAAGTACACTGTTCCCTTTGAAGATTTACCCGTGTCCTCGGTATGTTTTCCATATCAAACTGAGAAGAAGAGACTGCAGCCTTGATCAAACTTGCGAAGTCTGAACTTACACGGAGAGAATGCAGGACTGAACTGTGTGTTAGGCTACTTAATATTCAGGAAAAGCCCCAATCAGAGAGGCGAACGTCTGCAGCCCCGCTTCCGTTTTCAGATGTCTCCGTTTTCCATCATCCACACTGAGGCGGAGCAGCAGCGTTTCAGAATGAAAACGGCCTCTCCAGCGTTTTCGAAACGCTCCGTTTTCGGCGCTCGAGAACTCCGGCGTAGTGTGGACGGTTGGCGTAACCGTAGCAAAACTTATGCGTTTTCAAACTAAAACGCATTAGTGTAAACGGGGCCTAAGAATTGAGCAATTCTTTCTTTTGCTATCTGCTCCCTAAATGATACTTCTGTGTTCTAGAACTATGAGGCGTTTTTCTCTGCTCGGGAGGACAATGCTGTGTACGCGTTTCTTGGTTTGACTGCACCCCCAGGTTCAAAGGTAGGTGTTCTGACTGACATAAAGGGTACTTTATTCCCACTTCATATGTACTGTACTATCCCAATTCACACCATACAGACAGAAGCCAACAAACTTGAACAATCACCAGATATTTTATGCACCAATTCAGCATGTTCTGATTTTTGCAATTGGCAAAAATGAGCTTCAAAACACACAAACAGACAATCAGAACGTTTACATGGACACCAATAGTCCGATTTTAATACGAAGAGTCTACCATGTAAACAGAGATTTTTGATCCAGCTAAAGTCATCCCAAATCAAATAAAGAAGTAGAGTATTCCTGTTTTACACCATGTCCTAACATCACTCAGTGCGACATGCAATTTGACAAACATGATGCGACACGGCAGAAACATTTAAATACCAGCTATTCATTTAAATATCAGCCACTGCACTGCCAACGAAACGGTAAGTTATAATCGAATGAATACATATTTATAAATATGCTACACCTACATTACACATATTTATGAGCACTGAAATAACATTCTAAAATAGTCTTGAGTGACTGATGTGGTGTAAGTGACTGAGTCACAGTTTTAACTTTCATTTTCAAACCAGCTGCAGTTATTTTATTTTTAAGATCTGTGTGAAACTAACTGCTTTCAGTAGTACGGCAATACATTTAACATATAATGATATTTAAACAAAATTGGTAACATTTAACACTGAATAAAGCACATAAATCGGTACCTGAGGTGATCATGGCCATTATAGAATATCCTGTCGTTATGCTGCAATGTTGCAGAAATAGAAATCATTGCTAAAATAGAAATTTTGCGTGTTGCAGTCAGATGTATAGGACAAAAATATATGTGCTGGATGGATAGGCCATACACATATGACTGTTTGACACTGTTAGATTTTGCTTAACTATTCTTGGGTAGCTCGCCAATGTATTAGATGACTCTAATACAACCAAAAAGTAAGCTAACCAAAGTTCTTATGGGGAGAAGAGTTTATTGAAGACAATAGCCCCTTTCACACAGTGATACCGGTAAATTTCTGGAAAATTTCCGGAACAACTTTACCGGTATATTAAAAAAAGCGCTGTTCACACAGGCAAGGACGTTACGTAAATTTTCCGGAAAAGAGCATTCACACATCCATTCCAAAATACCGGTAAATTCTGACATCATTCACCACAAATGAGCTTTAAACGGCTGCGCTTGTATTTGTAAACATTTGACTAAATTACAAACTCTGTGGATGATCAATATTGTGAACAACTTTCGCAGGATCACTTTCGCATGTCGAGATGTTCATAATACGTGCGTGTGCAGGCGCTCATAGGCGCACGCAAAGCTTGAAGGTAAACAAACAACGGCTTATCATAAGCATCTCATTGATGATTATTTACACAGTTGGCATTAAGAAGAACATATAAACGTGATCGGACTAACTTCTAGCAGCTAAATGTGTCTGGAAAAATATTCAAAGGCTTTTATCCTCACAAACCGCGCGGACGTAAATGCGTCTGACTGTTGTGATTGGCTAAAGCAGACGTCTCACATCAGCACGTTCTAGACGTGCACGCGCTTATTACGGGAATCTTCCTTCTGCATTCACACAGCGCAGCATTCCGGCAAATTGCCGGTAATGTTACAACTTCTCTTTCCGGAAAATAGCCAGAATGAATTTACCGGTATTTTTAAAAAAGGACCTGTTCACACATACAACCTGGCAATTTTCCGGAAAGGTCTGTATGTGTGAAAGGGGCTAATGAATGGTTCAGTTCCTCAGCATCGATGTTAAACATATGAAACAAGTCATACAATCTATCAACATCATTTTATGCACCTACTAAGTTACTTTTGAAAGTAATGCTTTACAATATTGAGTTACTCCTCAAAAAAGTAACTAGTTGTTTTACTTAGTTATTTTTTAGTTACTTTTGAGTTACTTTTGCTTTTAACTGAGGCTTGATATCTTTCAGAACTTGTTTTTTTTCTTTCTTTTTTAATAGAGGAGTTCTGTAATTAACAACACATTGTATAACCTTCATTAACCTTTAAAAATACCACATCAAAACTATTATTTTAGGAGAATGTTATCTGAGTACTTCCTGCTCCCAGAGCTATAAATGCCGTATATACAGATTATTGAAAGTTAAAGCTACGTGTTTGCTACCTTTGTGCTATTTATTATGTTGGCTTGAGAAAGCCAACATACTGTTATACTACTGTCCTTGAAAACAAACGTATCTCCTCCTAGGCCGTTCATGCCACAAGGCCCAAATGTGGTCAAAATGTGCCTTCTGCATTCAAGATTGTTGCTATATCTCCTCATGCCTGTAAGACTTATTGTTTTTTAATAAAAAATGTTAAATATAAAATTTTTAGAATCCGAGCATAAAAAAAAATTATACAAGCCCCAAATTTGGCCAGAAGCTGTATTAAGATGTGGTAGATTTTGTTGCTATATCTTTAAGGTTTATCAGACTTATAGTTTTCCAATAAATAATTTTTAAGCATTATTATTTTTCTCATAATATGGCAAGCCATTTTTGACTTAAACTTCATATTTTTACTGATATGGCAAGCCATTTTTGACTTAAACTTCATATTTTTACTGATATGGGAAGCCATTTTTGCATGTATCACTTTCACACTTATTAAGCATTATATTTTCCAAAAAATACGGCAAGCCATTTTTACATAATGTTCATTCCCATAGTCCCTTTATTAATCAGGGGTCGCCACAATGGAATGAACCGCCCACTTATCCAGCATTTGTTTTACACAGCGAATGCCCTTACATCCCCAATCCAACACCAGGAATACATAATGTTCAAGTCCAGTTTTTGACACTCATAAAGACTGTCATAGAAACATCGGGGTTGATTTAGATCACTCATATTGCCAAGAACCTTTGATGTATCATCACTAACCTGTCAAATGTCCCCATAGCAATAAAACAGTATAACCTAGCAACCATTAAAAAATAGCAATATCTCTACATCAGAACATCGTAGGGACCTGGGCATTGGCTTGTTTGACTCATGCTAGCAAATGAGACTTCCTGTGTAATATGCATGGTAACAATGATAATGGAAGCCAAGTGCTAATAACGATTAGCTACATGCTATTCATGTATTGCTGTGCATCCTGCATGTTTTAAGCAAGGTTTAAGTTGGGTGCACAACTAACGTTTTCTCCGTTGGACTTTAGACCTGCTTTCAGCTGGTCTATTGCACAGTCTATTTTAGTTTCTCAAAATAGCAAGGCTCCAACAATGCGCCTTAACACACCTCTATATTAGACCAGAACACCCATGAGTCCACAAAGTGGCACAAATGGATTTGCTATTTAAACAACGTGGCGTAAGACAGGAAGATCAAGGTTGCGTTGGTCTGAAAATAGCAACACGTCTTGGAAACATGTCTTGTGCCGGGTGTTTATATGAGCCTATATCTTTTGCTTGTCTAGAAAATGCTTCTTGATTTAAGAATTGTTCGAAATTCGGACTAAAAAACAAGACAAAAAATCTAATACAAGTATTTTTTGCAGTGTTTTTTATCTTATTCAGATTTAGGTAAATCATTCCATTACTTATGTCCAATTGTTGTAACAGACTGATAAAAAAACAAACTGACAAAGTGGATGATGCTAGTTGTTTTATTCCTGACTAAGCAATTTTGTGTTTAATAGACATCCAATCATAGACGTTTTCTTAGCTAGAAGATGGCTAAAAATGGGCTGTCAGTAAAAATCTAATAGATGCAATTGTCCAAAATCCAATACACAGATCAGACAGGCTTCACGTGTGTAGTCATTCATTCATGTGTATTTGAAGACTAGTCTTTTTTTGAAATAAAAACTTCTCCTTTTTATAGCCAAAACATCTTTATTTTTAGACGTCTGTGTGAAGTGTCCACTCATAGGAATCTAGTTTGGGTGTTCCTGTTTAGTCTCAGGGCCACAATGTCTTTGCTTCATAGACCACACTCTGTAGAATGTCTGATCTGAACTGATACAAAGTGCTTATATTTGTTTCTTCACAGGAAGCAGAAGCTCTGGCTAAGAAAATGCAGATGTAATCTAAAGAAGCCGCTCTAACACAGCTGCTGAACTCCTGCACTTTTTTATTTTTATTGTTGGTCCTTTTTTTGTTTGCACCTATGAAGTTATACAGTTGAATTCAGGATTACTAGCCCCCTTTTGAATTTTTTTTCTTTTTTAAATATTTCCCAAATGATGTCTAACAGAGCAAGGAAATTTTCACAGTATCTCTGATAATATCTTTTTTTTCTGGAGAAAGTCTTATTTGTTTTATTTCGGCTAGATTAAAAGCAGCTTTTAATTAAGAGAAAACATTTTAAAGTCAAAATTATTAGCTCCTTCAAGCTATATTTTTTTCAGTAGTCTACAGAACAAACCATTGTTATAGAATAACTTGCCTAATTACCCTAACCTGCCTAGTTCACCTTATTAACCTAGTTAAGCCTTTTAATGTTACTTTAAGCTGTATAGAGGTGTCTTGAAAAATATCTAGTCAAATATTATTTACTGTCATCATGGCAAAGATAAAATAAACCAGTTATTAGAGTTGAGTTAATAAAACTTTTATGTTTAAAAATGTGCTGAAAAATCTGCTCTCTGTTAAACAGAAATTGTGGGAAAAATAAACAGTGGGGCTAATAATTCTGACTTCAACTATATATAATGAGATATTTTGTCTTGCTTTGTGATGAGTTGGAAAGAAATCATTCCTCAACTCATTCAGATAAACATACACTACCGGTCAAAAGTTTAGGGTCAGTCATGTTTTAAATAGGGTCAGTTAAATGTTTTAAAATAGGCTTCTCCTGCTCACCAAGGCTGCATTTATTTAATCAAAAATACAGTACGAATTGTAAAATTGTGAAATGTTATTGCACTATGAAATAACTGTTCAAAAGTAGTTTATCATTTAATTTAGTAATTTATTCAGTGATTTTAATTAATTTTCAGCTTCATTACTCCAAGCTTCAGAGTCACACAATCCTTCAGAAATCACTCTATTATTAATTAATTAATTCTTATTATTATTAATGGTTATAGTAATAAATGCAATAATTGATTTCATTTGAAACTACATACAACAAGGAATACATATTTTAATAAATATTTAACAATTTACCAATTTTTTTGTAACATTTCATAAATGCCGCCTTGATGAACTGAATAATTTTCTTTTAAAAAAACATGAAGAATAAAACCCGACCCTAAACGTTTGACCAGTAGTGTAAGTAAAGCTGTTTTTCACTTGTTGTCAAGACTTAATTTCTCAGAATTTTAAAGGGACGGTTCACCTAAAAATAAAAAAGGTCTTATTAATGGCTCATATTCAAGTGTTTCCAAACCTTTATTAGTTTCTTGTTTCAGTTGAATATAAAAGAAGATATTTTGAAGAATGCTGGGAACCGGTAACCATGACATTCATAGTAGGATTAGTAAATGCTATTGGATGTCGATAATTACCAAACAACCTTTATTTGTTTGTTCATTTCCTTCAGCTTATTTATCAGGGGTCACCACAGCAGAATGAACCGCCAACTTTTCCAGCATATGTTTTACACAGAGGATCTCCTCAACCCAGTACTGGGAAACACCAATACACCCTCACATTCACACACTATGGTCAATTTTAGTTGATCCAATTCACCTAGAGGCCATTTCAATGTGGTCATGTCATTTATCCATGAACATTTCCTGCTTGTTATCAAACTGTTTGATAACTGTAGTAAGAGGCAATTCAATCATAACTTACTGTTAAAACAGCTATCATAACATTATTTATCAATACCAGCCGCTTTGGATTCTGGGAAGCTACATAGAGATGTTAAAAAAATAAAACAAGAAATACGTTGGGACCATTGTTTTTGTTTAAATCCCTCAACATGGTCTATAGCGTATGTTTTTTGACTGCGGGGGAGACCGGAGCTCCAGGAGAAAACCAAAACCAACACAGGGAGAACATGCAAACTCCTCACAGAAATGCCATCTGGTCCAACCAAGACTCAAATCAGTGATCTTCATGCTGTGAGGCAACAGTGCTAACCACTGAGCCACTGTGTCGCCCTTTTTTTGATTGTTCAACAGAACAAAAGGAATTCAAACAGGTTTGCGTGAAGTTAGAGGAGGAAATGATGACAGGACTTTTATTTTGGGGTGAACTATCCCTTGAAACTATTCCTTGGCAAGTTTTGCTTGAATGTCCTTCATTAGTTATGTGGCATGATACTTTCAATTAGTGCAGATACACTGTACACACAACAAGCCCATGCGTTTTCACTATTTGTAATTTTTTTTAAAGAATTGTTGCCAAACTAGTTATCATTTTTGTCTGTTTAAGCATTCTCTTTTTTCTCTTCTCTTTTTTTAAGCTTTTGCCATTTTCTACTAAATGAATGCTATATTTCATGCCGCATTTTTGTTTAACCTCAAGCATCCTTCATGTCTTAATATTAGTATTCTTTCTGTTTATTACTTAAACAAGAGGAAAAAGCAACAGGCTTATAATAGAGTTTAATTTTGGTACTTTAATTTGTTTATGGGGTACTTTCTGAAACTTTTAATACAAAATAATCTATACTATAGTGCAGTGTTTCCCATCCTTGTTCCTGAAGGCACACCAACAGCACACATTTCCAACTTCTCCCTTATCAAACACACCTGAATCAACTCATCAGAACATTCAAAGAAACTCCAGAAGCTGAAGTTAATGGGTCAGAAAAGGGAGATATCCAAATATCTACTGTTGGTGTGCCTCCAGGAACAGTGTTGGGCAACACTGCTGTGGTGGATCTTTTCAGGCAAGTAAATGGCACAGATATTTGATGATTTCTACTATGGTCAGGCCTACGTTTATAGTATCACTTGGCATACTGTAATGCACTATGCCTTTGATATGATATTGATGACAAATTGCCATTTGTCTGTGACTTTTAGAGGAATGTCTGATGAGCATTTTTATAAAAAAAAAAAAAAAAAGGAAAAGGTTTTGAAATGACACATTGTTTTGTATTGTAATGTCATAACTGAAATTGTTTCTTCTATTTACCACTGTCTTATGAAAATAGTACCAAAGTAATAAAACAATTGTAAAACATCTGTGTCAGAGTGGAAAGGAATGTGACAATGGTGGACATTGATTTTGTTTTTTAAGTGCAGACTTTCGTATTTGTATACTGCAAATCAATAAATGAGTAAAAACTGTATATGGTACAATATACTAAATAAATGTTTTAAACTCTGACTGATGACTGAATCTCTATCTGGGTATATATATATATATATATATATATATATATATATATATATATATATATATATATATATATATATATATATATATATATATATATATATATATATGTATAATTTTTTTATGTTTTTAAATATATATTTAAATATTTAAAATATAAAGTCAACCACATAGTGTCTTTATTTTTGGGTGTATGGGGAGGGGGTATGTTTAGGGTGGTTTAAACTAGAATTTAAACTAGAACCGCCACTGGGACTGGGTCATAGAATTATTAACTCACATTAAGGATAGGAATTAAGCAGTGCTGTGTGATGTTTGGAAATGTAGCGCCCATCACAACAGCACACATACTTGCTGAGATAAAGCAAACTTGTTTAACTGAGGGGTCGAGCAATAAGGGGAAAAAACAGATTCAACTATACCCTATAAGTGTACTGGCATTGAGACAGGCAACATGCAGTTCACGCATGAACGAAAAAAGCAAGTGTTCTGATGCCAAAACCTTTAAGTGCCATCTGAAATGTTTTTTTTGTGTGTGATATCAGACTCCTGTTTGTAGGTTCAGTAATCAGACTGCATTATTTTTTATTTCCTTTAAAGTGATACGAAGACTGTGAAAATAGCTAACTTTAGAAGAAAAATTCAGATGGCACTTTTTGCCTTTAATTTGCCGATTTGCACAGGTTTTTGCATGTGCAAATTTAGGGAAAATAAGAAATTTAAATTTTATATATATATATATATATATATATATATATATATATATAATTTTTTTTATCAGTAGCTCTATATTTTCACCACTAGATGGCTTACTTACACTCTAAACTTACACTCAGGTATAGTTTCAAGCCAATTTGGAGTAAAATATGGTCAAGCTCTTGGCCTTTTTTTAGCAACTTGGAATTAATAAAAGAGATCCAAAGCGTCGAGTGCTGCAGACAGAATATATAGTGGAAAGTGTTATTGGTTATGTAAGGTTATATAAGTGGCATAAGGTCAAAAATGAAGTGGATAAAAAACAGAAAAGGAATTGTTTTCAGAAGGTCAAACACATGAATGTATTTATAGGACCAGAGCACTTTTTTAGATAAAATATAATACAGAGCGTTAGTAGCAAAACAGTTAACATGTTATAATTTTTATGTACATAAATAAATGTACCCATTTAAGTGTATAGCATTAAAATCACATTAACCCTAAGTATTATGGCTGAATGCTAATTTCAATTTTCAGCTAATCCTCAACCCACAGACTCAGCAATGGTAACCCTAAAACATCAACATGACATTAACATCTCTAGATTACAATATAACAAAAAACTAAACTCATTTTTCACAATATATTGTTCTGGTTCCGAAGCACAACAAACAACACTTACTTCATTGTTTATTCTCATTATACAGCACTACACTGTAAAAAAAAAAAAAAAAAAAAGTTGACTCAGCTTAACATTTTAAGCCAACAAACTTCAGGACATTTTTCAAGTGCATGGGTTGAAAGTTGAGTCAACTTTTGTTGCCTTGATTTTTTTTTTTTTTTTTTACATTATACCTGCCACAACTCAATAGGTTTAAGTACATTAACACAAGCTTGAGTTCACAGACATACCTACACTGCTAAAAGTCAAATAGGTTTACTACTACAATGTTTTATTGACTGTTTTATGTTTAGATGATTGAAAAAGTTCATTTTATTCAACTAAAAACTGTAAGGCAGGGCTTTTTTTTTTACAGTGTCCCTATTAACTACAATGAACTTTAACTTATATTTGAGTGAAGTAAACTAATTTAATTAAATTAAAACTGTTAGATAATTTGCTAAACAAATAAATAAAAAACACATTACAATTTATGCAACAACTTTAGTGAAGAAAATGAATAAACTGTTTTCAATAAACTTAACAACTTAAATGTAGGCTACAAAAACATTGTCGCAATAATTTAGATTAGTTTCTGACTGTTTATTTATCTAGTTATTTATTTGAACAGAGAGCAACATATGAGAACAAGACATTAAAATAGTCAGTTATTATACATTTGCCAAGACAGCGCATTAATGTTGTTCATTTTAGGTTTTGAATATTATCCATTCCTTGCCCCCTAGAGGACCGTAGCAGGATAAAACATTGACTGTGAGGCGATTTTAAATGACTTACCTGCCTAAAAGTATAGCATGGGATTACTTTTCATTCATTTATTTATTTTATTTTCGGCTTACTCCCTCTATTATTTAGTGGTCGCCACAGCGGAATGAACCGCCAACTTATCCAGCATATTTTCTACTCAGCGGATGCCAGCTGCAACCCATCAGGAAGAATGACTTTTCATTTATTTTCATTAAAAAATTCAAGATTTAATTATATAGTTTCTTATTTATATTTTACTTGCCTTAAATGCTTTGAATAAATTATGTAAAAATCAGTTCAGAGAAGCCCAGTAGCTGTATTTGTTTGTTACACAAATATATTTAGCATAAAGCTTTTATTTTTAAACTAAAGAAGGTTACATTGCACATGCTTAGCACGCTATGTATAAAATATGATGTCATTACGTTTCGTGTTTTGATGTTTAACATTTTCAAAGCAATGGTTCATCCATGAATGAATATTTACTTAGGTGGTTCCAAATCTTTATGAGTTTCTTTATTCTGTTGAACACAAAAGATATTCTGAAGAAAACTGAAAATGTGTAGCAATTGACTTCCTTAAAACAAATACAATGAATGTCAATGGTTACAGGATTCCAGCTTTTTTCAAAGTATCTTCTTTTTTGTTCAACAGAATTAAGAAAGCCAAACAGGTTTAGAACAAGTAGAGCTAAAGCAGAGTAAATGGTGACACAAATGTCAGATTTGGGTGAGAGATCCATTTGAGTATTACGTTTATAAAATAAAGCCAAAATGGCCTGTTTGACTCAAGTGAAATATAAAAATTAAAGAGTTTAATCTCTTTATGCTTTAAGATTTATGGAGATTTTAAGTAGTATTGAGTCAAACAATTAAATTCCTTACTGAGTAATGAAATTACTTAGATAAAAGGTTACTAGAAAAGTGATTTAAATAAAATGTTAATGTTGTATTTAATAATGTGATTAATACCTACTTTTTGTAATAACTTTTGTAACAAGTCTTATTCATTCGGATGTTCATGCGCATGTAAAAAATGGTAAATATTTATTGTCTCGTGATTATTCAATGAGGAATTAAATAAATCTCAGAAAACAGTCAATTCAAATTGATGAAAAGTTTCATTACTAAATGTTGTGGTTGATTTTTATTGTTAAACAGTTGTGGTTTAGTAACTGCTGACATATGAAAAATATAATTAATTTTATACTTTTATTTGTCGTAACGTTAAACTGATGCTTCAAAGTGGAATTGTTGTTTTACGAACAACTTGTTTTTGCTTTTCAGATTTTATACTCAAAAATATTGTTTGCTGCTTGTTCAAACTACTTGTATACAATAAGCTGAAGCAACACAATTCTTGATTTTTGGGAGGGAAAACATAATTGTTCGATGTTCAATCGACTTGAATTTGATAATCGATTTGGGACAACATGAATTAATTGTTTGTAATCTAGCATTTTTACAGTGTTGAGTACCCTCAAAAAATGATGTTTGCCTCCAAACCACTTATTTAAAATTAACTAAAAATGAACGTTAAGTTGTACAATCCTAAATTTAATTTGTTTAAATTCAGTCCATGTAAATTGTTTACAACCACTTACCTTTAAAAAATGTTTATCCAATTTTTTTTTCCAGTGAGTTGTCACAAAATTGTTTGGGTTTCTTTTGTTCCCCTGATAAACATAAAATAAGTGCTTTTGGAAAATGTTGGAAATCTGTAACCATTGACTTCCTTAGTATAAATATATTTTTTACTATAGAAATGCATGGTTACAGGGTTTTAACACTATTCAAAATATCTTATTTGGTGTTCAACAGAAGAAAAACACGTTTGAAAAAGGTTTGAAACTACTTGAGGAAGAGTATTAAGTGAGTAAAGTTTTATATACGTGAACTATCCCTTTAAGTTAAAAAAAAGTTACCTGTTTCTTATTGTTCTCCTGGGACTGGTATTTATTTCCCTTCAGTCCTCCTCTGAGATTTTACTGGTGCCTGTAAGGTTTAGAGCAAGAGCATCTTCTTCCCATTTGCAAAGCGATGAGTTCGACTGTTTAGACTTTAAGAGGATGAGAAATGAACAGGTAAAATGTAAAGAGAGCAGAGAAAGATGTGATATGTCGATCAGAACTTTGAGGAAACTTTAAGACTCCTGTCAGAATGCAGTCCATCACGCGACAAGTGGATCATACTTCAGGAAACCGCTGCAAGAAGATGAAGGTGGAAAATAGGGAGAATGAGAGTTTGCAGGATGTCTTGGAGTATGACAGTGACACACTGAGAAGAACTTTATTTGACGCACAGGGTTAGTGCAGCATAATAGTTTGAGGGGGAAACATTACAGCAATATTCGGCAGTTAAATCGTTTATATTGAACTCTGCATTTCCATTTGTGTATTTTTTTCGATGGCTTGTGAAGATCTGAGAAAAAGCGCGAAGGAAAGAAAACCTGCAGGAGCTGAAGCTGTGAGGAAAGTTCGTGTGGATCTTCAAGGGTCAGACCTGTGGAAGAGATTTTACGAAATCGGCACAGAGATGATTATCACCAAAGTTGGCAGGTAAGATGGCAATTTAAGCCTGTTACAGTTTACAATCAAATTTAACCTTGCAACAAATCATTAAATTACCGCTGAAAATGTGACGTGCTTTTGATATCATGTTTGGTGTTTCATCACAGTCTCCTACTACTGTACATTGACTTTAAGGTACAGTTGGGTGTTAGGTAAAGTTGAAATTAGAGTATACCTGTGGTAATCTTATAGGGTTGCTTCAATGTAGTCATATTTTAAAAGTAACTTGTACTGCAATCTAAGACATTTTAAAAAAAGTAACTAAATTTGTTACATTTTAGGGAAAGTAATGTAAAT